AAACGTGTATCCAGTCTTCTTCAATTTTGAGTGGGCTCGGATGACGTCGTCTTTCCCGGTTAAACTTTCCAAGATGATGAGCAATGTCAATATCCCATTAGTAATATGCACCTCAAGTTTGGAAGACACAAAGTTCACGAATTTGTCCACACATTCCACCAAAGTCTCTGAATCAGATGTGTCCTTAAGTCCGTGTATTCTGAGTGAATAATTGCGGCCGTGCTGCTCCAAATCATTATGACGTGCCTCTATAGCGTCCTTAGACCACTGGAGATCACCGACTTGGGTCTCCAGGTTTCCAATGGTCAGACGAAGATTCTCATTTTCTATTTCCAGTTCGAACACTCTCCCTTTCAGTTCCTCAACCAGTTATATATTTTCCTCCCGTATGGAATCTTTTAACTTCTCATTTCGGAGTCAAAGTCTGCCTTTGTTATGAGTGTAGTTAACAAGGATGAAATATCATCGGGTCTGTCCTCAATATTCTTATCCGCTGCCCTGGTCTTAACCCCGGCTGCTCCTCCCGTACTGTGCTTTCTGCTAGCCATGGTTTCCGCTGAGTATTACATATATCAAGTCAACATATACAAGTCCATATAGCTATAGTAGAGAGTGCTGTGAGCAGTAGTCACTAGGTGGGGTATCAGGCCATTGTCCTAACTCAAAACCTCCAAAACACACATTTCCACCGAAAATTCAAAAAAACAGATACTGATAAGGAATAAGCTATCCACTTATGTAGTATGTAATCTATAAATTATACTACAAAACGTGTAATAATATAAAAGAAAACCTTTTTTTGTCGGAGCTCCAGACAAAGGACTTACCATGCCCAGCGTGACATTGACCCTCCTATACATAGTAATAGTAAACAAGTTTGAACTGTAAAGGGGGCAATGTTAGAAGTCGTCCCCTAAACGGACCATTTTGTCACAAATGGTGCATTACATAGAATTTCCAATGCCATATTGCAATTACATAATAATTGTTGGCAAAACTAGAAATAGTAAGGGGACCATTAGCATCTCTTTGGCCACAACCCATAATTATTTCAATCGTTAATAAACCACAGCGACCATGTTTCATAACCGATCGAAAAATGAAACTGTTAACACATAAAACGTGCTAAACGTACCCATATCTATAACTAAAAAGGTGATTGTCAAATAGAAAACAATTACTCCGTTTGTGAGCATCATTGGACCTGAACAATCCCCGCTAATTCTGGCACATAGTGCGATAATTCTGGCACATAGTGAGAATCGACAGTTTGCCGGACAAGTCTGCTTACAGTCAATGCCACGAAACCCGGGTGCACATTCCAAACACAATTAAACAAATACATGTTTGATGTCTCGTTGCATTAATTATATATATTCACACATTTCTTTTTTAATTTTATTATAGCAATTATATTTGCCTTGCTGTATGCTGTGTAATAAAATACGTCCTTTTGTTATTTGATATATTTAAATTGTGTGTTAATAATGTACATTTAAAGTATCCTCTTGCCGTATGATATCAAGTTTCTAACTGCGATATAGTTTTACTATACCCCATACTTACTTACTCTGTTTTACTATGCCAAAAACGTAATAGTCCATATGCTACAAAACATTATCTCATGCAGTCACGTATCAACGATAAATAAACTGAGAATAGTTTTACGCAAAATCATGACTATATCTTTCTGAACACATATTAACCGTCTCAAATAGAATGTATCTGGTCAAACAAGTTTCGGGATTAAAGTACTAACAAAGCTATTGAGATATCGGTGATGGTTTTCGTTAAGAACGTTTTGTTATGATTGTACACCATGTATGATAACCATTAAATGTCCTAAATGTATCGTTATACACACTTAAAACGGATACTTAATGCAGCAAAACCTAGATGTTACAGTAGTCAATGCAATAAAGGATAGATATCCTAATATTTAGAATTATTATTTTTTGTATGAATAACCGATCATTTCACGTTTCAAACTAATAAATGGGGAAAATATAATTATATGATTTTACTTCTGTAAATGACCTTACATATCACCATACCTGTACATAACCCACTGGTCTGATAACATATATCCCCTTTGCAATTTGACGGGCAGCTTGTGTTGCAGGTATCACCAAAATATCCAGGTCTGCATGCTTAAATAACAACATTGGCAGTCATTTGAGACTAATTAAATACATCAATCTCTTAACTTTACCAAAACAAAACAATAAACTAGATATATGTTCAAACAAGAAGTACAAGAAATTGCAGGCTTGAATAAAACACAAATACGATTTTACAAGTATATTTGTATCTATTTTCAGATAAGAATGCAATTGTATCATGTTCTATCTTCAACTACATTCATAAATTTAGTCCATCATATCAAATTTGAACAAATAATTATAGCACGTTACTTTGGGCATACAAAACGAAGATCTAAATACCTCCGATTAGAATTTTTGAAATGTTTTACATCATTTTCCTGCGTTTTATTTTGCATGTACTGATATCAGAGAATACCTACAAAAAACCAGCTTAATCTAAATTCAATGACAAAGTCACCATACCTGTACATGTCCCTTCATATTGTGCGCATGTGTAGTTTTCACAACTAGAGGAACATAACCGATCACACTTCATCCCATAGAAGCCGTTCAGGCAAGCTGCAAGTACACAAATATGTGAAGGCGTAACTTCGGTTTCTAGTTTCAATCGTAATAAATGTCCATGTGCGAAATATTGAATGCGAAAATATTGTAAAGATTTAACCTAAGCGTGGGTAAATACATTTGTTTTTGGTGTGGGGAGGTAGAAGTAGGGAAATCGGAAGGTGTGAATAAGGATACAGAACGGATAAGGCCAGCGTAATGGGAACAAAAGCAGATCCTGGTTACAGATATTTTCTTGCTATTGTTTTGACATCTTCTACCATTGTCCTATAGCTTGGTAATATTATATGAAAGATAAAACACTAGTATGGAATACATTTTTATGTGAAAAATGTGAAAGAATCATAATTAATCACCAGTTAAATTTGAATACAAACATTACGTGTGTATACCTTTCTACATACACGAGTTGCGCTCAAAGCAGTCATGGATCATGGACAGGGATCCCCATTTGACGCATGTTACATCATGCATTTGGATAAATGATATCACTTTTTTCCCCGTATCTATTAAGGTTAGCCGTTCTCATAATCTATATATTCTAGGTATTATTATCTCAAAAAGATCCTACGCATCGAATACACAGAAAAAAACGTTAAACCAACACATTCATGATGAATGATTTCAGATTTCATACTGCATTTCTAATAAGAAAATGATTAGAACAG